TTGAAATACATTTTAAAAGAAAAACTAATTGTAGACAGTATTTCAACTGCATTTTAAGATTTACTTATATTTTTGCTATAAATTAATTCTAAAAACATTTTTACAAAAATATTTTCTATTATTTTGAAAACACTTCCAAATAAAATAAAATAAAGGGAACATAGAGCCACGACGTTCAGATTAACCAATAGGGAAGAAACAGGGACAAGGAAGGAAGGCCAAGTCCAGAATGTTAACACCCAGGCCACCAATTCAACAGATCAACTCATGCAATACCTGACACGTGTAAGGACTTATGACCACAGACGTAGGGGTGGGTTCGGTTTAATTCGGTTTGGTTTTGCCAAAACCGAAACCAAACCGAAATTTCGGTTCGGTTCGGTTCGGTTCATTTTTTTTTCGGTTTTTTTCGGTTCGGTTTTTTTTCAGTTCGGTTTTTTTCGGTTCGGTTTCGGTTTTTTGTTTTTTTTTTCTTTCAAAAAATGAAAAACATTGAAATTTTAAATTTTAACGTATCCAACACAATCATAACACAAGCATTCTAACTATAATCAAAGACAATGAAAATAAACATTTAAAGTTGAACTAAAATCATCAATCAAGTCTTCCAAAGTCCAAACTAACAACATCACAACACAAAAATCGTACAAATGACTTAGAAAAGTTAAATTGTATGATGTTGTTCAAAGATCAGGGTTGTTTGCTTGTAACTGCATGTTGACAACTTGATTAGTAAAAGAAATGCGTGGGTGGATTTATTTAGTGTGTGTTGGATTCTTTTCCATCACAAATTCCCTAAGTAATCTACCCGAAATAAATGTTTATAGATTCTGTTACATGTTATATGAGAGTAGATTTGGAAAAGAAAGCTGAGACAAAAGTAGACAGTGCTATGGAGATAGATGTAGGTACTTCAGGATGAGGTTTGGCTCCGGAACCTTATATGGGGGATAAATAATAGGTTAGGGTTTAAAGATTTTATAGGACTTTTTTTTAATATTTTGAGCTTAAAGTTTGGCAACACATTGGGTTTAGCATATTTTAACTTACAAATTGGGTTTAGAAAATAATATCCAAAACAAATAATTAAATAAAAAAATTAATTTAATTAATTCGGTTCGGTTCGGTTTGGTTCGGTTTCTAGATCATTAAAACCGAACCGAACCAAAAGAATTCGGTTCGGTTCGGTTTTTTCAATTCGTTTCGGTTTTTTTGTTCGGTTCGGTTTTTTCGGTTTCGGTTCGGTTTGGTTTTCGGTTTTTTTCGGTTTTCGGTTTTTTGAACCCACCCCTACACAGACGTAACATGGAGGCAAGCACCTCACTTCACTACTACACCACATACTGAAATAGGGCAAGATATTTCCATAAATGGGCAAGATATTTCCATAAAAGGGCCAGATATCTCAATCATACAAAATTAGATACCTTTATATTCAATCAATCCAAATTTAGTAACTTTATTGATAATGAACCCAAATATCTCACACTAACACTGTATTAATTAGTACCATCAAATACCCTTAAAGGTCTAAAACAAGATATTTCCCATAGAATAAAATATGACGCAAACAACTATTTATAAATTATAATTGTTTTTACAGGCATAAACAATTGACATTATTTTTTTAGTGATAAAAATTAAATGAAAAAATAAGGGGAACTTTAACGAAAAGTTCTTTATACTGTTTATTCTAACAAAAAATCATATTTTTATACTAAAAAGTCAATCATGGTACTATTCATTTTATATTTATTTTTTTCATATCGTTAAAACTTAAAATTTTTAAATCATTTTCATTAGTTTCTTAAAAATAAACGGAAAGTATCCTTCGGGATGATGGATAGACCTGTGTAAATATCTATTGCTTTGAGAAGCTCCACAGATTGACGTCATCATTGCTTCCCATATCATCCCAATTCATGTTGCCACCTGGACGGCGACGTGTAGAGAGCAGAAGCCCTTCGGCCATACTATCAAGCAACTTTGGCATGGCGAACATTTCCTCCTCATCCAAGTAAAACGAGCTGCCACTTTGCTCCGCACCTCCACAATCCTTCTCCCCCTCCATTTTCTTGCTCTCCTTCTCATCATCCCCACTTTCCGACACTCCGCCAAACTCAGCTGGCCTGAATGTCTCTGCAGCCTCCTCGGCCGCCCGCCTGACATCCACTGAATCAATGGAAGCCGGAACAGGCAGGCGCCATGCGAAGTCTGCAAAATTGAGGCAGGCAAGCCTCCCTCTAAAGGCCAATGCTGCCACGTCATGCACCCGAGCTGCCATCTCTGCAGTTGGATAAGTTCCGAGCCATATCCTCGACTTCTTCTTGTTTGGTTCTCTCATTTCGCACACCCACTTGTCGTTGTTCCTCCTCCTCGCTCCTCTGTAAACCGGGTGCCTTGTCTCGTTGAAAACTCTCCTCCCCGCTCGCTTCTTCGGCGTGCTGGATGCCAAAATGACCTCCTCGTCGGAGAACGAAGCCAGCAGCAGGTTGATATTCGATTAAATAAAGTTGGGGATCTGGGAAAGTTTTGTAGTGCCTGGGTTTCTCTCTTGTGTTTCCTCGTATGATATTCGATTAAATATTGGAAAGCATTTCGAAGTTTATTTGATCTATTAGAGGTTGATGTTTCAAGGTAACGACCCTACTTGTGTTCATTTTCATGTACCTTTTTGATAGGTATTTTGTAGTTTCTTTTATTTGTTTGATATTATATGTTTTGGGTGACGAATGACTTGTTTAGATGTACTTTTAAAATGACTGAAAACGTTTTTAGAGAAAATATTTTTTGATTTCAAAAGCATTTAAAGTGTTTTTTGTAAGAATCATCAGTTATGTGCTTCTTTGAAGAAGTATTTTAAGTGTTTTTCTATAACTTACTTGCATTTTTACTAAAGATTGGTTCCAAAAATATTTTTACCAAAAAAACTTTCGATCATTTCAAAAGCAAGTCCAAACGAACTCAAAAAAGTTCCTTAAAAATGTATCAATCAATTCCTTATTAGCAACAAATAGGTTCCTTAAAAATATATCAATTAATTCCTTAAAAAAATCGATGAAGATAATACAAATTTAAATCATAAGGACAATATTGGTAAGAAAAATAATATTTTGATAAAAAAACAAAACTGACTCAGCAAGACAAGTGTACAGTCATTGGACCTAGTGAAAGAGTTTTTAGATTCCATAAACATTTTGACTGTATTTTAGAAGAAACACAAATTGTAGAAAGCACTTATTTTTGTTATAAATTAATTCTAAAAACATCTTTATAAAAAAAGTAAATACTCTCTTAATCATTTTGAAAGCTCTTCTAAACACACAAAAAAATAAAAAAAAATAACATAGAGCAACGACGTTCAGATTAACCACGAGGTAAGAAACAGGGAGAGGGGAGGAAGGCCAAGTCCAGAAAAGTTAACACCTATGAAATAAGAAACCCAGATAAATGAAGCAAGTCAACTCATGCAATATAAATTGACTTTTTGCAAAGCCCTGCTCTAATTGAAATCCAAGAAATAGGAAGAAAAGTGGAGAATATTGTAAAATTTCTAAATATAGTCAAATGTGTTGTAGGCATAATTTACTGAACAATTATGGAAGCTTTAGAGAGAGAGGGGGTGCGGCAATAGAGAGAAGAATAGAGATATGTGTAATTGTGGGTGTGTATTATCTCACCCCATTGTGCCTTTATTTATAGTAGTAGGAAGAGTAAAACCTTTCCCTTTAGGATTACAACATTTAATAGGTAATCTAATCCTAATAGGAATATAAGATACATTCCCATATTTCCTAAGATTTACACAATCACATTCCTATTCTAAATAGGACTGCAACACTCCCCCTTGAGTGTGTAAATACTCAAGTAAATGGCGCATCAAGTCTTCATTGATGAAGTAAGTACAGTTGATGAAGTCGTCGGCACAATGGGCAAATGCGAGTCTCAAATCAACGGAAGAATGCATAAAAAGTAAAACTCACAAAACCTCGCTATGGTAAAACCCAAGGTGGGAGAAAAACTTATAGCCTAAGGAGAAAAGTGAGAAGTTGTATTAAGTCAAAACTATACATCTTTTGGACGCAAGTAGAAGAGCTCTTAAGGGTATGATCAGCCCAGGATGGGTGCCTCGTTAAAACCTAGTTAGGTAGCAAAAACCCAGTGGGAAAAATGCTCCTAATCGTAGGGAAAAAGAGTGCATTAAGATCAAGTGAGTATACTTCTCGATATTCCTCCTGAGTTTGACATAACTTCCAAATGAGAACTACAAGCATTGCATATGAGTAGTTAGGCATACCAATTCCTCGGACAAGCTTCTGGAAGGTTGACTTCGGCAGTGACATCGTGTAGAGGTCAGCAAGGTTGTCTGGGATCGGTTTGCACGACTTCAATCTCTTGATGCTTTGCTGATGTAGATGTAGACGCAATATGTCTTGGTGTTGACTTCGTTGATGTATCATGGCTTGGTCGAGTTGATACATGTGGCATAATCTTCATGGATCGTCGTTGGGACTCAACGATGGATGAAAATATAGCAAGTACTTCGAATATGCTCAACAAGAACTCCTAACCATGTCTCACTTGTGGCATAGTGAAGTAAGGTGAGTCTTGGAACGATTCGAAGGTTTTGCAACTAGGGTCATATCGTGGACCTCCAAGATATTGCGATATCCCTAACGGTAAAGACATAACCATTCGGGGATTTTGCCTTGTGCGGGTTTGATAAGTAACCAGCGTCAGCATAACAAACAAGGCAAGCATCATTTTGAGGATCAGGGGGGTTAGATCCGCTCAAGATGCATTGGGATTTGCCCACGTAATACCTTCAGGGTACGTCTTTAATACCAATTCAGTGGTTGCGTGTAGGCGCGGTGCTGCATCTTTACCAATATCAACAGCGAAGGAGATGTCCTGTCTAAATACAATGAGCTAAGTACAACGAAGTGCAAAGTTGAACTTTTAGATATGGAATTTCGGATTCCATAGACTCTTCAAGAGTCTCATTTGCATATAACGTATGGACGATCATGGGTATACTCAAAGGTGACACATTCTGGGAGTAGTTCAACTGGTAGACCAAAATACCGTCAAAACAATGCTTCAACTTCAGGTCAAGGCATAAACGAGTTTTCCCAAGATCCTTTATCTCAAATTCCATCTTCAGGTGCGAGGCAGTTTTCTCAAGCTCTTCCAAAGTCTTAGTGAGATTCGTGTTAACGACATAAACTGTAACTCTAGCAATTTGGAATAAGACTTCATAGTTTAAACACACAAGGGCATAATTCATATCCTTGATTGATCAAATAATCACTTAGGCGGGTATACCACATCTGTCGGATTTTTCAATCCATAAGTGAACACCTCAAAACGAGTTAAGAGGGTGTTCCGTGGTTTGGAACTATTTGAACCAGTCCATGTAATTCTTCGGGAACTTTACACGTAAATCTCCGTATTTATATCCCCATGGAGAAATCCACATTTCATAATGCTGCTATCAATCACAGGACGTTTTAAGAGAAACCTTGCGTTGTAAGGCGTGCATCATATCGCACTATTTCATTCATCTCATAACGTTTCCTTTCCCACTTGTAACTTAACAGGGTTACCTTGGGCAGTGTAGGAACGACAGGTCCAATACACACTTTGGTAAGGAATTTGACCTGGATTGTAACTTTAGTTGTCCAATCAGTTCTACATTGTCACTTAATCAACGGAACACGGTTCGATATCGTCGTTTTTCATTTATGTTTGTAGCTACAATATAAGTGAAAACATCATCGATGATAATCTCATTTCAATTCCATTTTCTCATCCAAACTAGTATACTGGACCAAGAACTTCAAGTCTCGGGAGTAATCCGGATTAATCTCATGAGATGGAAATGATTTGAGACAGCGATCGAGTTTAGATTCATTGTTGTGTCGTGTCTTCCTCTTCCAGGGAAGTGAATCCTACTATCCGCAGGTGTACCGGACCGTCCAACAGGGGCGTCCAAACCATCCAACATGGGTGGCACACCCTCCAGGGATGTTGACTAGATGTCCGTTAAGTATGTCTATCCTTGCAGGCATGTTTACAGTTGGTATATGATCTCATCACTTTAGCTAGATCAGAGGAATGCGTCTGGAGCAACATTCTGAAATCTAGAATTTGTCGCACTTGCTTATCATACTTGTGCGGTATGGGGATCGAGATGAGACATAGTGGGCAACGTCCATGCAAATTCGCGCCGTTTTACAGGAACGTTGACGTTCTTATCTCCCCCTAACGGCGGGAAGACTGTCTCATTAAAGTGACAACCCACAAATAAGCGGTAAAGAGATCGTGTGCAAGGGCTCGAAAGGAGCTAGTGTGAAGGAGAATCATGATCGACAAAAGATACACATTCTTCTTTGAGGACCCATGGTGGTACGTTGCGGCGGCGCAACTTGGCACATGGAATGCGCACCCAAATGCGTAAATACGAAAGTCGTCAGGTTCGTACCCAATAACCAATTGTAACGTCATATAGGTTGGGTGGCAATGGGCCTCAAGGCGGACCAACATAGCTGCGTGCAAGATTGCATAGCCCTAGGCAAAGATCGAAAACTTGGTACGTTTACCAAAATTCGGGCGATCATTTAAATTGCGCTTTATGATCGCTAGGCTAGGCTATTTGGGGTGAACATGGGAATGCGATGTTCAATTAAAAACCCAAAATGACATGCAATACTTTATCGAAAACCGTCAATATAAACTCTCTGGCATTATCCAGTCTTCCAGACCTTAAGGGATAAGTAGGGTGGTGAACCCTTAATCGACCAAGAGGTTTAGCAGTAATGTGTGTGGACAAACATGTGACCAGTTTGTCGATTCATCAACCAAAACAATAAATATTTATATGGTCCGCATTTTGGTTGGATTAGTCCACATATATTCCCTTGAATCCACTGCGAAAATGGAGTCGTGTCGTATCTTTGCAAGAAATGATATAGAAAATCAATTTCCCTAATGAGCAGGATTGGAAAAGTGTGCTTGTAGGCGCAAAATCCTTACTTCAGATAAGGAGATGCATTGTAGCATCATTGTTCGACCTAAGTGTCCCAAAAGGTCGTGTTAAAGTAAGTAAACTGCTCAATCACCATGCTATAAGCCGGCCACATGTTGTGTATTCCCAGTTGGGAGACAACCCATTGGCCCCAAATCAAAGCTTCAGGCTCATTTTTGAAGGTGGTGCAAAGATATTTCACTCTATTTTCTTCAGTGGTTTCATTTATGATCATTGTCATCTCGAATATCCTTAAAAACTCAATGTCAGGAAGAATTTAAGGTCCTTTAAATGATAATTCAGTATCATTCATACAACGAGGAGCGTGCCAATGCTCTTAATCAGGTTGGATAGACCTGAAGTCGTTGTTAGAGATGTGACTTAAGTGTAAAGTTAGTGTGCGTAGTATGCATTCATCCAGACAACTAACTTTCCCACATTCCTACCAAATCACGTGTTTAATTGAATCGGTC